GTGTATGTCACCCCTAGCACGTTGGAGGCCATCGCTCTTAAGTTGGATGCCATCGCTATTAGGTTGGAGGACATCGCTATTAGGTTGGAGGACATCGCTATTAGGTTGGAGGCCATCGCTGGTAGGTTGGAGGCCATCGCTAGTAGGTTTGTGTATGTCACCCCTAGCACGTTGGAGGCCATCGCTCTTAAGTTGGATGCCATCGCTATTAGGAATCCAATCTTGTGAAACTTGGTGGTTTCATGGGACTTGGTGTTTTCATGTTCTTGTGTTTAGCGTGCTCCGCTGCCAGCCCCACGGGCGCCAATGAAACCTCGCAGTTGACATGGATAGTGTCACTGAGTGCCAATGGCTCAAGGAAAGTCATTGTCAATGGTTAATGGCTCAAGGAAAAGGGGACAAATGTCACGGCCAATGTCCTATATATCAGAGGCCTAAGGGCAAGCTGTTTGCTTTCTTCCTTTACACTTTACGCGCTCAAATGTATCCTTCTCTCGAATTGGCCCAACCATTCACAATTAATTCGCCCGTCCAACCGCAACTCAAGGCCTGCAATTGAATAAGTTAAGGCTGAACCATTTACAAGTAGTGCGCCCGTCCAACTGCAATTCAACGCCTGTGGTTTTTATAGTAAGTTAAGTTGCTCTCTGATTGCTGCGCGCTCCCCTCACACATGGGGTTGGTGGGCGGTCATTTTTGTTGTGCGCAGTCAAAGAATCACACGCAGGAAGCAAATTTGAATCGAAGGTGTCAGCTTCAGTTGAAACCTCTATTTTCCAAAAGCTTTTGTTGAGCTGGCCGTGGCCATTTTGCGTCCTCCTCAGCAGCGGTTTGTGAACAGAGCCGCACGCCGCGGGCCTTAAAGCCACTTGTTTGTTGGCAGTGGACATGCCTCCCAGAAAGCGACCAGCGGCGGCTATGCGGCGGCCAGCAGTGACCAAGCGCCGACCAGTAGCCAAAGTAGCTCTTGAAAGTGACGTGATGAAGGCCTCTGACAGCGAAGATGAACCTGTTTCGCAGAAGACACTGGGTTAGAATTAGTTTGCTGTATTTTTTGTTTTGATGGTTTCAGGCCTTAGGTGTTTTGTTTCGCAGGGGGGTGAAATAGGGGTTCAGGAAACCTCTCAAAGTGTTTCGTGAAGTTGGCGCGGTTTGCGCCAAATCCCTTGCCCAGGAACGCGGGGCTACTTGGCGGACAAGATGATCCTGATGAAGTTTTTGCCAGCAGTGCTTCAGACCCTGAGCCTGATGGTATGGCCAGCGACGAGAAGCCAGACCCAGACTGCGAGGCGCTGCCTCCTAACATGGATGCAGTGGGGGTATCTAGTCTAGGTCTCAGAACATTTTTTTTTGGGGCATGCTTCAAGGTTCCCAAAGACATTTTGCAATCTAGCTGACGGAATCTGAAGGTGGAATCATCATTGCGACAGTAAGGTAGCAAACTTTATCACGGCTGCTTTAGAGCAACGGGGCGAAATCGTCTCCCGCATCCAGACGGCGCTCAGCAATCGCGAGACGACTGTGGCCTCAATCTGTTCAGGTTGGGGTGTGGCAGAGATGTGCATTGATGCGCTCAACGAGCATTTGGCCGGCAAGTTTGGCTTCCAGGTGCATGCAAAGCTTCGATGTCCAGATATGTTTTTTTTGGCATTTGATGCCAAACAAGTCTATTCAAAAAAACATTTGTTCTTCTTCATTCCCCCAAAACATCACATCAACATACTCATCAGTGTTGTCTTCTCCCTGGAGGGTGGGCGCTTGACTCTGGCCTTCAGCTGCGAATGCGAGCGCTTCAAAGTAGACTGGCTCCGAAGAGCTTTTCCAGATGTCCCCGTGTTCAACGACATGATGGACTTGGGCAAGGGGAGGGCATTTGATGAGACGTCGAAAAACTACACAGCCGTGCCGAAGGCGGGAATAGCTGCTGGTGAAAACCTCGACCTCTCAAACCCAATCAGGTTTGAATTCTGGGTCTTCCCGGGGGCATATTTTTTTTGAGAGCAAACCCTGCAGGTTGACATAGTGATGGATGGCTACTCCTGCAAGTCCCTGTCCAGACAGAACAACACGGCCAAGAGTTTTCTGGATACTAGCTCTAAGAGTGGCCAGGGCTTCCAAGCATTGCTTAGCTATGTGGACTACGCAAACCCCAAAGTGATCATTTGCGAGAATGTGGGGCTCATGGCGCACAGCCGGCAACAGTTTGGTGGAGAGAAGCCCATCGCGATCCAGAACAACGAGCTTGCAAAGCGGGGCTTCATTGGTTTCTTCCAGACGGTGAACAGCAAGAACTTCGGGCTTCGGCAGTGCCGCACACGGGTGTACTCTGTTTACATTAAATGGGCGGAAATGCATGCACGTGAGTTTCTTGCATATGTTTCAAGCGCATTTTTTCTTTTGATGCTTCCGGTTGAGGGTGGAAAAGGGTAGTAGATGAAGAGTTGTAGATGGAGCGATAGTCTGATAGCGGGTGAAAGGAGCAGTTGTAGTTGTTGCTTCATGGATTTTCCCGGAAGGCTCCCTGCTGATGTTTTCAACACCTTCAAGTGTGGGCTGCTCCCTGTGCGCATGTTCTTAGACTGCAGCGGTGCGGCCACGGTCAGGGCCGCAGGCATTGAGTCGAACAGAGGCAAGAGCGCACAAAGTGGTACGAAGTGGAAGAGCGGCTTCAAGAAGCGGTGCAAAGAACTTGGTGAAGTTCCTCAACTTAGATTCTGGTCTTTTTTTGGCATGGGTATTAGATTTAGATCATGGATCTTGTTTTGAGCGAAGTTGGAAAATCAAAGGCTGATGTCATGGCGAATCTGGACAAGTTGCGTTGCTATGGGATTCCCTTGACGGACCGCGAGTACGCAATTTTGGCGGTGTGTGTCACAGAAATGCAGGTTGCTGGCTACAGACCGTTTGAAGACCATTATTGCATCCAAGTGGACTCTTGACTTTTTGGTCAGAGGTTTTGTGCCTTTTTGGTTTTTGTTTGTTTAGCTCCTCCAGTAATGGTCTTACTTTCGTTTTTCCCGAACACCTCGCAAAGGATCAAAATTTTCACAGGACAACATGGACAAAACGAGACCCATCACTATGTCCTTGCCTATTACCTGGGGGCAAGTATGTTGTTTCTGCGCGATGGAGCCTCCTTCAGCCTCAGGCAAGGCTTTTCGAAACGCTTGTGTTCAACGGGTTTCTTTTGATCACCGGGGGGTTGATAGACAGTTCAGATGGTTGGTTTGAGATCACCATTCTTGCTGCGCACTGGCAGGAGCGCATGAAACTACAAGGAGTGGGGATGGATGAATACCGGAGGTATGGCATGTCTTCGCTGAAACCACGACAACTTGCCGACCTTGCAGGCAATTCGTGCCTTGGATTGATTGGCAGTTTGATTTAGAAGGAGCATGAACCGAGGCAATGTTCTTGGATTGGTATGATGATGACAATATGTTTTTTTCAGAAAAGAATTCCAGCAGGTCCAATGTTACCCACCGGTCTTGGATTGGTCTTGTGTGGGCGAGGTTTTCCGCTCCAGTGATTGCTGCTGCTATGCTGTCAGCTTTGGCAAGCTGGCGCCAAGGGTAGACGCTGATTTCCATCAACCCCAAGGCAACTACAGTAGCTCCCAGTTCGCTGCTGGCTCAATCAGTGGTTTTCAGCTGCTGGCTCCAATTTGCGAATCAATTAGCGTGTTCAGTTTCAGTTGTATTCACAACTGATGACGGGCAGTGCAACCCCATGTTTGCTGAAAACCGTTTTTGTATCGTTTGCGTCGGTGGTGCATCATCCTATATACATTTCTTGAAGAGAAGTTCATGAACATCTTATATATTCAAACAAATGCATTTGTGGTCAAGGAAAGAGCCAACCTCATTGAATGAAATTTGTTTAAGCATAGAATGTCTTACTCCTGCCGCATAGGTTCAATTGTAGTTTGAGCTGCTGCTCGCCCTTTTGGGTGTGAGGTGGTTGGGATGCCTCCTCGGAGGAAGAAGGCCAAGGTCTCACTTCCGGACATAGTTGGGGGACGCGATACGGTGCCTGTTCCTTCCAGCATGTCGGGCGCGCCTGTCCTTGTGACCACCGCGCTCTCCATCGTAGACGACATGTTCAGCTTGCGGCATTGCACAAACAAGTTCATCCACACTGAGAACTTGAATGTGCTTGAGCCCACTGGCGGGCTGTACCCTTGGCCTGTCAAGCATGGTGGCACGTTCAAAGAAGTGGCTCAGCGAGCACACTCGGACTTTGAACAGCTCTTTGACAAGTCTGCGCACTTTGCGAGCCAGTGTGGGCTGCTCGAGTCAACAGAGAAAACTGATTTCATGGATCAGTTCTGCCATATTGAGGCTCACCACATCCAAGAATTTTCTTGTACTGTGTTGTAAGTAGCTGACTCTAAGAGACTAAGAGTTCAGAAGTCTACATCATTACCTTTTGCGCAATTGGTTGAACTAGATTCTAGATCGCATCGTTACCCCTTTCAGGCTTGGCCGCCCGAGAAGGGCGCATCCTTCGAGACATCCGCATTGAGTTGGTCTTTTGATGATGCCTCATTCTGGAGGGGCCAGGCAGTTGGTATGAGCGAGGTCATCAACACTGCCCGCAGCATCGTTTCAACCAGATTCCGGGAGGCCTGGGTGAGTGGTTTGGGTTCCGGGAGGCGCGCCTTGCAATGTTCAACTTGCACCATCCCTGTCATGCCTTTTTTTGGCTTAGATTTCGCACGCCGTGTGGTTATATAATGTTATCAATTTCAAGACTGTACACATTGCTTCAGGGATCGAGTTGTGCAACCTTTTAGTCAGAAAGAATTACTGTTGCTTGAAGCAGTTGTGTAGATGGAAGGGAAACGCAGCCATGGTCGGACCTCTTTGTCGCAGTTGATTCGGCGACCTTGCAGATGCTTAGCTCGCATATGCTTCCAACAGTTCTCGGGGTTAGAAAGCCAGATTGAGCAGGTAAGAGCAGATTTTCATGGACTGCCACGTGAGAAGAAGGAAACTTGACGTGGAGTTTGCAAACAGTTCTTTTTATGTTTTTTTCCAGGCCCGACTGGAAATCTCAGTCTTTGTGCAATGAATCAGAGTGCTTGGCATTGGGCCAATCAGGAAACTTGGTTGGTGCAGGCATTCAATTGTTCGCATCTCTCGTTGGTGGAGGACACTGAAACATGCCTAGAATCCAGTTGCTCTGACGGAGAGATTTTCCTTGCGTCGGATGAGGAATGTGGCCGCGCTAGTGATGACAGCAGCCCGCACGAGGAGGGTGTTTTCTATTCATCGGACGATGAACAGCCTCCGGCTCCAAAGCGGGCGCGCTACAATCCTCGAAGAACTGACGTTGCAACTGTTCTTGGCAAGCGCGTTTGCCGACGGGCTTTGTCAATGCTCATGGGCATTGGAGGGTCGACTCTCCAAAGGCTTCGGGATGGAGCTGATGTTTTCACCAACCAGGTGAGAAAGCCTTTGCCAAAGCACCCAACTCTGGGATTCACGTTGAGGGGTGAGACTGAGAAGGTCTGGGAGCACATCTTGATGTTTTTCTACCACATCTACCACAGCGTGGCAGAAGTGATGCCAACTCATTGGCACATGGTCAAGGAAGAGGGCGCCAAGCAGATCGAAACCCCTTTTCCAGAAGATGACCCGGAATCTGTGAATAGAGAAGAGTACATGCAACGCTTGGTGAACGCTATTGGAAGAACTTTGAACACTTTCAGCATGGATGTTGAGAGTCAAATGATCGGTCCGGGGACATTCAGTGGACCCCGGAGGTGCTTGCAGCACCAAAACAGAACGGATTTGTTCTATGAGTTTCTCGCGTTCTGCGAGTCCCGTGGTCTCCGCAAGTCATCTTATAGTACTTTCATGAAAGTCGCAAACACAATCATCAAGCCCGGTCTGAGAAACGGGCATCTCCGTTTCAGAAAACCTGGAGAGCATGCCCAGTGTGACTATTGCTTCCGGGCAAGGGAGCGCTTACGTGAAGCGCGCTCAATGCAGGCGAAAATGCAAGAGGAACGGGAGCTCATGAGGCACCGTTTAGCGCAGTGGCAAGACAGGCAGTGTTATTGGCAATTTCGTGCCATGAGCCAAACGTTTTCTCAAATTTGATCGCGAACAATGGCATGTTCCTTGCTCTTCACCCAAGAGAGGTCAACAGGACACATTAAAAATTGTGTCTTCTTGACATCTCTTGAACTTCCCAAGCTTTATGATTTCCCTTCGCGCTTCAAAGTGGTTTTCTGTGGGGCATTTTCTTTGCTTGTGGCTTAGAAGGTGCAACAAGTTGTATAAGATTCATTCAGGCAAGCGCGTGTAACTTTTGCCTTCTTGGTTTGTTGACATCAAACAAAGGCTGGGATGCCATCCAAATGTCAGCACATTGTGCATCATCAGCGATGGCATGGACCAAGCCAAATTCCGCACACCTCGCTCCAAAAAGAAGCGCAGCAAGCTATACGAGACTATGCACAGGCCCTGCCTTCATGTGGCGGGGGCGTGGGCCCACGGGTGGGCTTTGAACTTGTTCATTGCTGATGAAGACCTCAAAAAGGATTCCCAGTGTACGATGGAACAAGTTGCACGAACCCTCGATGATATTCTGTTGCAAAAGAAGGCGCTGCCGACAGGCATGAACCTTCAATGCGACAATACGTATCGTGAGGCCAAGAACCAGTTTGCAGTAGGCTTCGGTATTATGACAGTGGCTTTGGGAATATTCCGTTTTTACACGTGTTCTTTTCTCAGAAAAGGCCATAGCAACTTAACTGAAAGGACCTGTAGATTTTGTGTATTTCTTTTTGTTGTGCTTTTGCGTTCTCCGCGTGTGTGCAATGTGAAACATTAGTTTTTGGTCAATCAAGGCCACGAAGATATTGACCAGTATTTCAGTTGCGTCTCCTCCTTCCTCTCTCCGCAGGAATTCTCCACCCCAAATGACGTGGTTGATTTGCTTGACAGCGCGTCCCGCCCAGACACAGAGTCTGAGATTTTTCGAAAACAGGCGAAGCGGACAAAGGTTCAGACCCAATGCTGTAAACTAGATGAGGTAGCCTGTTGGCAGGATTGGGTAGCAATGCTTGGGGTTCGCCTTCTTGGTCTTCGAAACTAGGCCTTAGGTCCTTTTATGCTTTCAGAGTTTTGAAAAGGTGTTTGCCCTTTGAGTAGTCTACATTTTTTGGCTCTTCATGCAGTGTCTATTGGTTAGAGTTCACAGCATTCCATCCAGGAAGGGTTGGGCAGCTGCGCTTCGTTTTGCGGCAAGATGTGGATGCTGCATCGCTCGGCGCTTGTGAAGTTGAAGAGTTCAGAGGCCGCCATCGCGAACCGCATGGCAGCGACGTGCTTCTGTTGGCGAAAAGGTACATGGCTGACGCTGAGCCATTCCGTGTCATTTGCATTGTGCCCGCTGAGAAATGTGCCCAGCTGAGGGTGAGTTTTGCTCAACCTTCGGGAGTTGCAGAGCGGAGAGCTATAGCGGAGAAACTGAAGAAGAATCTTTTGTCGAAGGCTCCCGCTTGTCGGAGCCAAGGGTCCATCACTCGGGATGCTGAGTCCTATTTGCTTGGCTGGGTGTCAGGCACTTGGCCGAGGATTCCAAGACCGAGCAGGTACAGATTTTTGGAATTGAGGCGCTTTGAGACTGGCATCGAAGGTGTGCCGGCTGTTCCATGGGAGCCTCCTGCACGTTTCCGAGTGTACACAATCCTACATGAGAATGATGCGGAGGATGGCGATGATGTCATTGAGGACGATGACAATGATGGCCCTGTGCAGCTCGTGATTGCGTGATTGATCACATGGTCCAAAAAAGGGCTCGCAGTTCGGGTAGTTCAATGCATCAGTCATCAGTCCCTAATCGAGCATGTGCCTACGGTGTTGCAACTAAACATGCCAACTGCCCAAGGCCGTGTTTTGTTTCTGGGCTGGGAATCTGTTAGTCACCAGTAGGATCCGGGTAGTCTATTTAGTGTTCGGCGAGGATTGCGTTTCGGCGAGCTGTCACTCCAACTTTTTTCGGCGAGGAAGCTACTTCGGCGAGCTGTCCATCGGACGGCTCTCCAAAGTCTACGGTGGGAAATTTTCTCGGCGAGTCATCGGTCTGGGCGAGTTATCGTATCATAGCTGTCACTTTCAGCGTGTCTAAACCCTAAACGTTTTGGCGCCCATAAAATTTGGCGGCGGCAGCGGGGTTTAGGGGGTTGAATGAAATTCGAAGGGTCAAGGACGGTGCTTTGTGCTTTCAAAGTTCAAGACTTGCCGGTCGATCTTATCTAGTTTAGTTTTGGCGTGGGATGACAATGGCCAACAAGTCTTTCACATAGCAAGCCTCCAGGGTAGCCACCACCAGGATATGAAAGGACCAGAATTTCGGCGAGCCGTCCACCGGACGGCTCTCCACAAGGCCTGGGTTAGGCCCCGCCAAAAGTCACGGTACTCAATGCCAACCCATATGACCCGAGAAATCCTGACACTTCCGAACCTGGTCTTGTGGAGACCGGTCCATAGGACGGCTCTCCGTAAAAGGTGTGTTATTTGTGGCCATTTATGGCTACCCCAAGGCCCCACGGTTTCAGTAGTCATGAAAGTTTGAGCCTTGCGCCAGGGGGAGATCCTATGTGTGCGGATTCCATGTCCTCCATTGAAGGCAGGCAACTTCGCATGTGGATCATTGTTCTTCAGCGATGGCAGCCAGAAGTGTCTGGCTGCATTCATTGTGTGGATTGCACTGCTTCTAGCCAGCGAGAAGCCATCATTGGTGGAGGCAGATTTCACTCACCCTCAGGTTGTGAATTTGGTGGCATCGCTACTTCGCATTCAAACTTTTTGGAAGGCATCGGTTGGTCAGGGAGATGAGTTGGACAATGTGATCAGTCGAATAGTGAAGCAAAACTGCGACGCTCGCATCCAGCCAGTTTCGAGTTTGACCTGGGCTGCAATTTTGTCAACAATGGGGGAGAGCATCACCCTGGACCAAGCGATCAATAGATACAACGAGCACCCTGAGGCGCAAGCGTTCGAAGCTGAAGGCGGTACCGGCTCTATCAGCCTTGACGGAAGGAAAAAGCAGGCCTGCTTCAGATTCAGCGCAAAACTATTGAATGGTTTGAATGTCCACCTTAGGGTTCTTACTATTGAGTTTCAAGACATTTTGTCTGGGGCTCCGTTTTGGGGGCAAAGGGGTCCATTTTGGGTTTGTTTTGGGGCATCATTATAGTAAACTATGAATGTAGACCCCTTCGCCCCCAAAACGGAGCCCCAGGCAAAATGGAAAGCTATCACGGTGCGGTTTTTGTAACAGAGATATGAAAACATGATTTGTTGGTTTTACTTTATGTTTTATTTGCGCGTGACATGTATACATGTTGCAGTGGGTGCCCAATACGTTTTATTTCTTGCGTGACCAGGCCGTGAAGAACTTCTTCAACAAGACAAGCTCTGAAGCCTTTGGGATTTTGGTCTCAACTACGCACGACATCGCGTGGAACCTGGGGCCGTTCGGAGAAAACTTCGGCTCCATGCAGTATGCGTTCATGGGCAGTTCTGTTCCATTGGAATCAGGACCTCCACTGGAAGATGATTCTACACCAACGCCTTTGCCTCATGAACCCAGCATTTCAATTGATTGGTCGCTCCCTATGACAGAGTCAGCGCAAGTTATGTTGTTCCAGAGGATCGTGACACACTGGGAGCGGATGACGTCCTCCTTTCCGGTGGCTATGAAAAAAATATAGAATGGGAGGTGAGGAGGTGCTCAAGACCCGGAATATGCTGGTCCTTGCTAACCAGCTGATGCCTCATTTACGTTCAAGAATGAGTCCGGAAAGCTTTGAAGAATTCAGAAAGGATGTGGTGTCCAACAGCAAGCGAGATGGGGACCTTCACAGCCTTTTGATGTCGAGACCCTCCCGGTTCTCGATGTCGATGTTGGTATCCGAGCAAGAGAATGCGAAAAGGGACCAGCTCGATGCTGAGAATAAAAAGATCGAGGAGACTTTAGCCCAGAAAGCAGATGTGGACGCGGCACAGTGGAGCTATTTCTGTGGTGCGCTCAAGCGGGATCATTCCAAAATGGAAACGGTCCAGTCTGCTCCCCGCCTTGTCAGGCAGCGACTTCACGCCAAACAGGTGGCGCACCGGACTAGACTTGCGGCTGAGGGAGAGGCGGCCTGCAGGGGATATCAGGACAGATGCCAGTCAGTTGAACCAACCAGTTTCACGTATGTAGGGTGAATGGCAGCAACAAAAGAGTTCAATCCATGTCGGCTTTTCAAAAGAAATTCTAAACTTTTGATATACTGCTTGTGAATTGAATCAGGAGTGCTATCTTCGAGTCCTTTCCTTGGACAAAATGGAGCATGCACCAGGTGAGATTTCGAAGATGAAGCAGCATGTGGCACCTTTGGCTTGTGTGAACCTGTGTTCATTTGTTTGCACCGCAATCAAATTATAATACACATATGGCTGATGAGTGTACTGACACATTACGCAAAGAAAGAAACTGTTGGGAACAGGTTTAAGATCTAAGGTTAAATGCAAATCATGCATATTGTGTTCGTTCGAATGTGCAGAGCATTTGCGTGAGCTGTTTTGGTAAGAGCCTGGGGGGAGCGCGTTGAGGCTGCCCAAGCCAAAGTCAGTGTCGATGACGTGCACGTCGTTGGATATGCAGACTTCAACGCGCCAGGTGCCCGACAGTCGAGCAAGGCAGACAGCCTTGCACTGGGCGTGTCCCTGTGCAACAGTATGGGCGATGGGAAGAAAAATTGCTGCTTGATTTTCACACCGGACCTACCGAAGGAGTCATCCTTGAGGGGGCTTTGGGATGAAGAGAAGATGATCATGGAGGCGCTTTTTGGATTGAAGCAATTGCCAGACTGGCCTTTCATTGACCTCTACACGAGGGATGCGCGTGGTGAGGCCAAGTCTACTATGCGCAGATGGGGCGCTGGTCGAATAGTGGTATCCAATGAGGTAAAGACGGACAACGTGTGGCTCGATTCTGAGTTGGCCATTTGTGGACGGCCAGTCGGCCGGTCCGAATCCGAGGGTGGTGCGCCCTGCTCTTTGCTTCCTCGCTCCAATGCACTACTACTCCCAGAGGGCGCATCTGCAGAGTCAGACATCAAGCTCGCAGACCGCACACGACCTTCGCCAGAGCAAACTGCTGCTCAAAAAGGACAAGGGCGCCTTCAGATGATCCTCGAGAGCCTCTTCAGACACACATCAGTGCGAGGGCCTGTTCTGATAGTTAATTTGACTGGCTATGTCGAGGAATTGGCCGCCGCAGTCCCTTGCATGTGGAAAGAATGTTTTTAGTCGCGTCTTGAAATTGAGCCTGATATGTTCGCAGGGACCCAGAGTGAAATCCACATTAAACTATCATTCTGTTCCAGTTTTCTTCAATGGCTTCTTTGAGACCTTGAACGCCTGTCATTTAACCCGAGGTGCTGGCTTTGAGACTTCAGGGAACTTTGAGCGGAGAAGGTGGAGGGTACAATTGGGAAAACCTGTACTATTTGAGCCTTCACACATTGGACTCAAAGATTGGAGTCCAATATGGTCGTACCAGAGTATCTCGTGAGTTGTTGGATGGGTGGCTCTCGAAACGAATATCGTTTGATGGAAAGAAATTCCAAGATGCTGATGTGACGCTTACAGATGAGGAGCATGGACGGGCATGTTCACATGTATTTTCCAATCACGCCCCTAGACTGGACCCGATATAGTTCAGCTTGAGCATATTGCGTGCGTTTTACCTTGACTCTCTGGCAGCAGGAAATGAAAGAGATTCCTGGCGCCGATGCTGTGAAATCCGTGGACTCCATGAAGCTCGAAGTTCTGGTGAGGGACGGAACGAAGATTGTGATTCATCCAGACCAGGTGCGCATGTGGAAGTCGAAGGGTGAGAAGTACGAGGCCGATTTCCTCGAGTTGAGCAATCAGCATACTGAGAAGTACGAGGGAATGCTTGCCAGTGTGATTCAACAATCTGCCGCCGGCGCTTCTTCCACTTCAGCAATGGCCGAGGTGGATGATGAACCTCCTCCAGAGGTAGAGGAAGGTCCAGAGCCAGAGCTGGTGTCCTTTGAATCTTTGGCAAAGCTTGAAGCTGCCGACCCGGTGGCTGTCAGGGTGAGCTCGGAGGTGGCCGGAGTTGAGCTGTTGAAGACAGCGTCCAACAAGCTCTTTTTGCTTGCCGAGAAGCAGAAATCAATCCCACGTTTTGCAATCATTGGTGGTTTTGGATCAGGAAAGCAGCACAGCTGACAAACGAAGGTGTTTGATGTTGATGCATTGTTTAAAGCATATAATCATATGCTGTTGTAGGTGACCCGATACCGCAAACAAAAAGGTTTTTTTTGCAAATAGCAAAGTGAGACATAATCAGTTGATATCACAGCTATCACATTCTGTATAACAAAAAAGCAGGGGCTCAAAAACTATTGCGATGCAAGACCTAGGGCCTAGTTGCAATGACACGGGTTCCATTTTTTCAAGGCAGCAAGCCGCCGAAATAATTCCTGTTCCAACATGGGATGGGAAGCAGGACAACCAAAGAATAGGGAAATGAGAGACTTATGTACACGACAAACTTTAAGAGACTTGAACCTCCCAGGTATGTGCCTCAAGAAGAAGACGGTCCAGGAGTGTCGCTTGCGTGGACTCTGGGGGACAAGACCCTGGTCCAGGTGGACCGCAGCAGCATCTTGCCGGAGCAAACCCACCAAGAAGTGATGACGCTCTACAAGTTCTTGACCCTTTTGGAAAGGGTCAAGCGCATCACCGAATACAAAATCAGCTACAGCGAATGCGCTCGCTCGGGGCAGGGGCCTGCCGATACTTTCAATATTTGCTTGAAGCATCCTCACAAGTACAAGCTCTTGAATACTTCTGAGAGGTCCAGCTCAAAGAGCTTTTTCGCAAAGAGCATTGACGAGATCGAGAGGTCTTCTGTCGCAGCCAAGGTGTTTCGTTTCCGATTTGAGAGAGTCACTGGATGCGTGAAGATCCAGAAGCCCTATGTGATGGTTGTGAAAGGTATGACCTTGCAGCCTAATGTGCCGATCCAGATTGGGTGAGGCCAGATTTTGCCCTCTCTCCCAGCAAGCCTATACTAAACATAGCTGAGTGTACAGTTAGTTCCAAACACACTTCAACACCCCAAAGTAGGATTACGCAACACAGTTACGAGTGTTTGTTCCGTGTTAGTTTTCATGATGAACTTCTTTGTGTTTGAAAAATCAACGAGTGTTTGCGTTTGGTCCGCTAAACAATAGTCATGCTGGGCGAAAACAATTCGAGTTCTTCATGGTCGATGTAAAGGCCAATGGGCTGAAAGGTCCTGGAAGGCTGCCACAGGCACAGTAGGATGAAAAACTTGCCGTGCTTGGCCCATTGTGTGCGACAGATCTCATTCCCACTTTGTTTTTGGGTTTGCAGTCTCTCTTCTCAACATTGTCAATGCTGCAACTGTTTCCAACGTGCAAACTTATGAATGTTCACTAACACACTGGATGCGTAGCCTGATGGTGGAGTATGTTGAATATTGGAATCTGTCGGCATTCAGCGCGCATTTTGCTCAGAGATTTGTAAGATGGTGTGGTTCGTGCCCATGTCAGCTATGCGGACGACGAGCTTTATGATGAAGTACAAGGCGTTTCTAAAACGCAGGCGCAAAGCAAAGAGAACGACGATGTCACCACGACGATGTCACCACCCACTTCGAAGATGCAAAACTGTGCAGTACAACTTGGACATTTGGGACATCAACAGCCTCACCGATTGTTGATGCGCGGCGCTAATAGGCCTTTAGCTGAGCACTTGGAGGGGTCATGCGCTCAGAGAAAATCATTCCATGGCCAGCGCTTAGCGGGTTTGACAGGGAAGCACATTTGGCATCCAGTCCATCACAACTTTGCAGTTTTCTTTTCTTGCCTTTTTTCAATCCTGCGTTCTTCAGTCTTCCTGTTTTCAATGTTCTTTTTGAGTCTTCGTGGCATCACTGCACATTGTGTGCAAACTTCCTGCTTGACCATCAAGAATTGTTCTGCACCTTGCTTGTTAAGTTTGTGACGTGTGATTTCTGCCGCAGCAGAACAATTTCGGTGATTTGCCACCTTGGCCGCCTCAGCCTTGAGCAGCGCTGCTTTGCTGGTGCAATGGCCCCCTTGAGCACCACTTCTTTGGCGGCGCTGGCAACGATGTATAAGGAGACGAATGGAGATGACCCGAATTTCGACTAGCAATGGGAGCTCCTGATCGAGATTGGCAAGAAAGTTGTCAGTCGTTGCGGAGTCTGGCAGGAGACCCAAGCAATTGCCGATTTGGCATTAGCTTTGCTGAAGGCTCGATGCATGGCTATGCAGGACCACGTGCCAGACCCGAGGATCACTTTTGAGTCACTCGCTCCTGGAGAACCTCAGCCTTTGACGGCCCTGGCCTCCTGCCGCCCTGTGCTTCGCACCTTGATGGGTGCAGAGTGTGGTCAAGCTGTGGATATTTTGTCGGAGTGGATTTGGAACCCAAACCAGGACGATGCTGAAGTACACCAACTCTTCGTGAATGCAGTCCAGCTGGTCAAGAACATTAAGGCGCTTTGCTAGCACAAGTCTTCTGAGCAATTAGTTGAAGATTAATTTGGAACTTTGCCTTGCGCAATAACTCTTTCGGGTTCCCACAGCAGAAAAGAGCGACAGTTTGAACGCCAGCCTGTTTTTTTGTCAATGTTTTTGAGAGGACGGGTTTTTGGTCAATGTGTTTTTTGTGTTTGAGAGGAAGGGTTTTGTGTCAAGAAGTTTTTTGTCAGGGAGGTTGGTTGTTGTCAGACACAACGCATTTCAATGATCGCAGCGTTTTTTGTCAAGCCTGTTCCTCCGGGCCCAGCAAGGAACATGGTCGAACACTTGCGCCGTGCCATGATGGCAAATCTCTCTCGTGGAGATTCCTGGGATGCCGACGATTTCCAAAACTCTCCATCTCACGCAGCTCGTTGTTGCGCAGATTCTAGCCTGGGAAGAGCCAACCTTGGAGCAGGGCATGCTGAGCCTGCCGCTGTCGAATCAGAGTTGCTGACCCCTCCAAGTAGACCACGCGCAGAGTCAGACCAGCCCGAAATCTTTGAGGAGAGCGAGCCCGAAGCGCTTCCCCAGAGAAAGTCTGCTTTGAGAAAACGCCCGGCGGCGTCAGTGCCAAATACGAAGCCAAAAGTGGCCAAATCCGAAGCTGCAGCTGTGTCCAGTGGCCACCACGCTGATGGTGGTGATGGTGAACCTGATGGTGGTGATGGTGAAGGCGATGGTGATGATGGTGCAAATTTTCCGCTGCCGCTGAAAAAACCCGCAGCTGCAGGTCAGTCGACGCCTCCTCCCAAGAATAAGGGTGAGAGTGCTACTGCTAGAGTCAAGATGGCCAAAAAACCTGCAGCTGGTTCTACCACAGATGCCCCAACTGAGACTACCACGTTGTGTCCCAACGCAGACTACAGCTACAAAGACGAAAGTGGTGTATGGCAGGCCTGGTTTGTTCGGTTTGCCGCCAGCTTTGTGGACTGGGACTGTCCGTATGATTTTGGATGGCTCATTTTTTTTAAAAAACTCGACCAGATGGGGTGCGTCTCCATGCCTGGAACTACCCAGTCCTAAGCAAAGGAACTTAACTTGGCACATATTTTGCTGTTCAAAGGGTGTGTTTAATGTGTGACAGTCATTTGCTCAACGCCTGCAGGTGTTCGTGCACACCAGGAAGAATGGTGAACTGCAAGGCGAGAAGTGGAGGCTGTTTGTGAACTTGGAGACGGGAGACCGCTACAAGTCCTTACGAACTGCTTTGAATGGTGGTTTCCCTCACGAAACGTGCAGGGACCCAAACAAGCCCTGAGTGTGTTTCACCAGTAGACACTCAGGCCTCACGAATAATTTTGGGAGTGGAAAAACAATTTCACGTTGCTGAGAATGATGTGATGTTCTTGGACATTTCGATTCGCTTCGATTTTGTCGCTTTCATTGCAGTTTCAACTGTGGCCCCGCCGCAATCCACAGACCTGTAGACAAACAATTTTGTAAGAAATGTTTTTTTCAGTGTGTTTACTTTAAAAAACACGAACATGTAGACAAACCTTTCCGCGTAGTAACAGCTTCCTGCCACGATGGGTAGGGTTTGGACGTGTCACACGAAATTAAACGGTATGCGTGGGCTTGTGTTAAACACAACACATGCTATATATTTGTAAGTCTCTGTCGTTTCGATTCGTGTGGCTACAGGTGGCAAAGTTTAAAGGCAACATGTATTATTTAATGTGCACCGCACATAGCTGGGCACGCATGGAATGAGTTTGAGACGCTTGCTAAGAATCAAATGAAAGACTTGTCACATAAGCTCGCAATCGGTATTGAAGAAGTCTTTGAGCAATGGGTGACTGTGGGTATAAGATTTCCTGGGGCCATTCACCTCCCCTTTTCCTTGAGCCATTAACCATTGACAATGACTTTCCTTGAGCCATTGGCACTCAGTGACACTATCCATGTCAACTGTGAGGTTTCAATGGCGCCCGTGGGGCTGGCAGCGGAGCACGCTAAACACAAGAACATGAAAACACCAAGTCCCATGAAACCACCAAGTTTCACAAGATTGGATTTAGGTTGGAGGACATCGCTATTAGGTTGGAGGACATCGCTATTAGG